ATGAATATGCGGGAACAGTTATAAAGAGTTCCATATAATCATTTAATTAAAAAAACTAAATATCTGCAACATTTCATTATCAGAAAGTGAAGAATACGACATTTGATGAATTCTTTCGATGTATTCGTTATGAAGGGTTTCACTGTAGTATAGGCCAAGGATCACCGAGTGAAACAAAATGAAGGGGGGAAAAGTCCCCCTGCATAGAAAATTTTCAGAATTTTGGTATAAAAACGAGTAATTTTTTTTTTCAATTTTAGCTATTTTATAATTTGTCAACAACACTAGTAATTTAAGCTTGAACTTAATGTTACAGTGAAAATTCGATTTTCCCTGAATTTAATGTTCAGTCTGGTACAAGGAAAATTTTCATAATTTGGGGTTTCGCTATAATTTTACAATATTGAAAGACAAAAAATGTTGATAATTTTGATATTACTACTCGCGTTCACAATATAATGAAACTGAGGCAATGTTTCTGCAAAATTTAAAGAATTGATATTTTAATACATATATTTGAACATATTTGTTACATTGCATGTATGACGTATGTATATCGACAAAGCAAAAGAACAATAAACCAGTTCACTCTAAAAATCTTGCCTCAGGACAAATATTTTTAAAGAAGGTTTGATTTGGTTGATCTGAGGGAACAGCTTTAGTAAAGAATTGTTCAGCCATAGCACATACATAATACAGTATACAAGGATAATTAAAAAATTCAGAAAACTTTGAACGCTAATATCTCAATTTTCAAGAACTTATCTAAAAAGGGGGGAGACACAAATTCTTCATCGCACCCACCTTTTAGGAGAAAGGGGGTGCACCTGACCCCTTGCACTCCCCGGCCTGGTTACGGACCTGCAAAAAAAAACATTAGAAAGAATAAACTAATTTAAACACCTTGAAAGATACAGCAGTTTTAATTGAGAGGGACCACACAATTGTATTTAACTATAAAACTTAACTAACGTAATAAAGTACCATATAAGCTTGTTCCCAAGAAAAAGTAGATACTTTAGAGCATGGTACTCAAGGTGCTAGTGCAAGGAAAGTTATTTCAGAGGTGTACGGATTTTTTGTACTGCAGTGTACTGTCTTTGGGTGGAAAAGTAAACGCAAGACGGATGTCGAAACCTGACATGGAATCAATTTTCAAAAAAATAATCTATGAACAATTCTGGTCCTAGGAAACTATAAATTTTCAAAATTATCAAAAAATTAACCTCCTCAGGTACCAGACGAACACTGATGCATCTATTCTCGTTTACAAATTCCGCCCAGAGAGAACTAGGTTCAATACGTACGCAGAGTATACGCGACTGCAATTAACTTTCCTTGCATTACTACCTTGATGGTACTAATAGACAGTAACTTATCACAATGTAGTCTACTAGATGAAACAAAACTAAAAGGTTCATAGAAATTATGCATAAAATATCATATCTTTTAAAGAAAATATTTTGTATGTTTTGATTTTAAACAAAATATTTCTGTTTGTAGAGTCGCAGAGGGGGCCCTGAGTGCAGTGAAACTGGGCACTGTGCCAATAATGCAGGCAGACGAGGAAACCGGTTTACAAGATTTAACAGCTGATGCCCACGTGGACATAGAGAAGAAGATTATTGGTGTACAGTTTCACGCTGTCAGCTATACTGCTAAACTAGATGTTGTGCAAGTCAAAAGTGCAGAATTGTATGATATTTAAGATTAATGTGCATGATGTTTAATAATAATGTTTTTTTAATTTTGTAGATTGATTCAAAGATAAAATTTTTTTATTAGGAAATAAAACATATTTCTATGTGACAATGTGGTACAATATGTATGTACAATGTACTTTTATTATTTGAGGCAATATCAGTTTTTAGAAACAAAAACAGAAACACTTTTAATAAAAAGCAATATGAAAAGAAACATTTTTCTGCTTTTTTATGGTTGCTGCACTGATAACTCTGGTTCATTTGAAGTAACTGAACAACTTTTAGGCATCTTTAAACAGCTGTAAAAGATATGCATATAGAGTATACAGCTATAAATACATGCATATAGAGTATACAGCTGTAAAACAAGGGTACAGTATCTTATTTTAGTGAGATTTATGTGAGATTGTCCTGACTCCTGGTAATGTAATTAAGTCTAACTAATGGAAATGCAGAAACATTTTTTATACAAGACAGAATTAGAGAGAATACTATTTATGAGAGAAATTATAATATTCTACATTTATTGTATACCAACTATGATGAGTGAATATTGGGCAAATCCCAAAATCAAGAATAGGTTTCTTCAGTTCACAGTCACGCAGTTAAAGAATGGTTGAAGAGTATTAGTATTTATTTCTATAGGAATTTTTAAACTAACATTATACAATTTTTTGGTATGTATATATAAATATAATTTTGTTAATAGAAGAAAGTACAGTAGAACCATAGAGAATAGAAAATATAGAGAGGAATTAACTAGAAAAAATTGTAAAACGGCCATTTTTTTGTACTGTTTCCATACCGCAGAGCCCAAAACTTAAGATATGGTATCGTTATGAAAACCAGTTTTAAAACCCGGCTTTTACTAATGGGGTTCGGCAGTTTTGTGAATATCAATATTTTTGTAATGAAATATCATTTTTTTCTTATAGCATTGTAATACCTAATTTCAAAAGTCATGTGTGCTAGAGTTTATTTTTTGAAAAGGGTAAAAGACTGTAAAGATGTGTCTATGTGTCTCCGCAAGATGAACAGTGAAGACGGACAAGTTTACTGTTTGTATACTGCAATTTTGTTTTTCTAAGTACACCCTTATGCACACAAAACATAAACAAACAAAATGTGAACATAGCAGATGAAATTCTTACAGATTACAGCTTTCTCAGTAGGTATCACTATAAAATCAAAGAATTTTTTGAAAAGACGATATCTAATTCGTCACTGAATTCACATGTTTATTGGGACACCCATGTACCATTGCCGCTCAGGTGAAGAATTAGCTCCTACTCCTATTTGGGTTGGATATTACTGGTTTGTTTTAAAACACAATGTGTACTTTATGACCTTTGCAGTGTGCTTAATGTTTACAAATTTAAGAAAAACCGGATCATTTAATTACAGTTACTATACATCAAGGGTGATGCAGATAAAATGTTTGAATAAATTTAACCTTCAACTGGTTCGGAAATTTCCTGAAAATAATGTAACAAACTAATTATTAATTCAAACAAATGTAATACCCTCTTGCATGCAGAGTTCATTAGCGCCTGATCCTATTAGAGTTCAGTCATGTGTTTGGTGTCTATTCTTAATCATGTGATATAGATAACATCAAAGGAATTATAACTATGCCAATTCATGTTAACTTGTGAGATAAGATATTAAATAAAGTTAGTTTGTATTTTTATCGTCCTGTTAATTTGGGATCAATATCTAGCTTGTTGATAGCTAGACTGAAACCCTGTTTTGATAAGCAGGTTGTATTGTCCCCATCCTTTGAGATCGATATATAGCTTTTTCATAGCTAGGCTTGTGTCCCTGTGTGGCATTTAGAGCGGATCATCCCCATCATTTGGGATCGACATATAGCTTGTTTGATAAGCTAGACTTGTTTCCCTGCGCAGCATTTAAAGCAGATCATTTTCATCATTTGGGATCAACATAAAGCTTGTGTCCCTCTGTGGCATTTAGAGCATTAGATCCTCCCAATCATTTGGAATCAATATATAGCTTGTTGTATAGCTATGCTTGTGTCCCTGTGTGGAATTTAGAGCACCATATCGTCCCCATCATTTTGGATCGATATATAGCTTGTTGGATAGCTACCCTTGTGTCCCTGTGTGGCATTTAGAGCCTGGATTAATAGCTTGTTGGATAGCTATGCTTGTTTCCCTGTGTGACATTGAGAGCCAGGTGGGTTGTATCCTGGTTGAACTAATAGCTTGTAGGATAGCTACGCTTGTGTCCCTGTATGGCATTTAGAGCCAGGTGAGTTGTGTCCTGGTTGACTCTGATAGCGGACCGGTTGTGCCTGGATAGACACGTTTCGAGAACTTGTTATGGAGTAGGTGTGTACTACCAAGATGTTTGAAAACAACAACCATTTATTTTACAAAAAGATCAAAATTGCTAGAGTTTGTTTTGTGATAAATTGCAGACAAATGCATGCTAAAGTTGGTTCACATATTTTAAAGCTAAAACTTTAATAACACACATAGAACGGATCTGAAGGTTGAATTTATATTTTCTGGTATGGAGACAGCTGAATTATACATATTCTAAAATACGAAAGATTTAATTTGCAAAAGAAAATTAAATGTTTATTTTTCAAAGACTGAATAAATTTCATACAGTCGTCTAGATACAAAGTTTGTGCGAAACTCTTATTTTTTTTACTGTTTAACAGCTTATATTGAATAGAAAAATAGATAAATAATTCATTGTGTATTTTATCAAAATAAATATAAAATTTGATATTGGATGAATCAAGGAAACGAAATGGAGAACCTCCAAATGAAAAAGATCCAATTTAATATAGAAAAGCAAAGATGTATCTGTCCTTTTTCACCGAGATATGTTTGAAGGATACCATACCATTGTAATTGAGAAATGGAGGGTCGCTTGATGAAACGTAACAGTCCCTTTAATTCCGAAGGAGGTTATAATGTTAGAGAGCGGAGACATTGATTTTGTATACAAAGGAATTAGAACTTTTTGAGTACACACAAAGTTTTCAAGGACAAGAAATAAACACAAACAGAAACTAAATTTGATGAACAGCGAGACATTGCTGAACCGCGCAGACTTGGCTCAACTACTAATTTTTTAGCTTGAACTGGCGCACAAGAGAGCAAAGCTATTGAACTAGGTCTGTGCTGTTCAGCTGATTCTCACTATCTATTAAATCTAGTCTCTGAAATACTTTTTAAGCGAAATATTAAAAAATGTTCCAACTGTATAAATGCTATATTCTCATGAGTTTTCCATTAATTGCCGGAAATCCACCAAATGTTAGTAGATTATTTGTCCGTTAAACTGAACATTTGAAAAACATTTATTCATGTCAATTACGCAAAGAGAATAGATTATTTACGTAAAAAACACCACTTTCAGAAACTTAGTTAGTAAAGATCGCGTGAACTCTATAATTCCTAAAGATCTAAAATAATATTGTAATTCCTCAGTCGTTCTTTTCCGGGAACGAACATAAAGGAACTGAACAAACAATTTCAAAAAGTATAAACACGTCCAGCTCAAGAACCTGGCGTCATTCCTGGGAAACGATCGTTCTTTCAAAGAAACGAGCAAAACGGTACGAACGATTAAAAAATAGGAACACGCCCAATCCTAATTGTAACGGTTTCCCCGGTTTATTTTCTTGGGATATTCCACAAGAATGTATATTCCCATATAAATGCAGTAGAATTAGTTATCATGTGATTTACTTGAATATCATATATTTGAATAAAAACACACATGTATAACATGTATAATATATATCTATTAACCCAGTCCAAAGCTACAGATCAACATATGACTTTGTGAACGTGAAGAATTAATTTCCCTAGTTTGATTCTGGATTCATATTAAGAGAATAGAAGCTAACTAATAAATAAGGACGGAGTTAGAAGCTAACTCATAAATAGGGACAGAGTTAGAAGTTATAACATATAAAATAGGGACAGAGTTAGAAGCTAACTCATAAAATAAGGACGGAGTTAGATGCTAACTCATAAATAGGGACAGAGTTAGAAGTTAACATATAAAATAGGGACAGAGTTAGAAGTTAACATATAAAATAGGGACAGAGTTAGAAGCTAATTCATAAAATAGGGACGGACTTAAAAGCAAACTCGTAAAATTGCGATGAAGTGAGAAGCTAACTCGTAAAATAGGGATGGAGTTATAAGCTAACTCGTAAAATAGCGACGGAGTTAGAAGCTAACTTNCCCCCCCCTATGTACGCCACTGACCCCGCTTATCATTGAAGTACACATTGACCCCTAGAAGTATGAGTTCGCGAACTTGGTGATTTTGCGTACATAAGCTATCTATGTTTATTTATTTATCTATGGGTAAAATATATTCTTGTAAGTTATAATAAATCTTAAAATAACAGTAATATACCAAAGATATTGTAACAATTAAATAAAATACAAAAACTTCAAAACACTCATGAGTCAAAACACCTAATATAAAACAACCAAAAGTGTCAGAACAACTATTTTTTCAAAACGCTAAAGCATTGATCTCGATATCCATAATACAAGAGTTATCAGCTCAGAACATGTAAAAAAATTCAAGTATAATTATATATGCAATTTTGTATTCTTTGGAGAAAAAAAAACTTAGGGATACTGGTTAAACGGTTTTGATGCATTTCTTGAACTCTTTGCTTGCAGTTCAGAATAAGAAATAAAAAACTATTTTTATATTTATATTATACCTGCAATCAATGGAAACACAAATATTTTATAACACTTTATGTTTCAACTACTGGAATTACAAAATATGTAAAACTCTTTTGCCCAAAGACTTTGCTAATTAAAGATAGCGCATCAGAAAATCTACGCAAATTTGACGCATTTTCTCGGGTTACCATAGATAGTGAGTGATGTCGTCTTCTCCAGAAATCGGGTATATATTTACCCTGTTGACGTTTCATAATGTCGTCTTTTGTAATGAATTAAATAGTTATTTAAAAGGAAAACAAGGAAACCACTTTAGTTTTTCTATTTTGAAATATTTAATTTGTCCCTAATCCATAAAAATACCGTTGTTTTTAGAACCTTTAATGGGTTGGTAACTTGAAATTACAACTATAATCATTCCCTGAGAACATTTACTTTTGGTTTGAAGTATTAATTGTTTATAAAAAAAA